GTCAGGCTACAACGTCCAACAAGTTTGAAGTCCGTAGACCCAATACTAGTGGAGAAAATGGGACATAAGGAAGAATATTTTGCCGCAGTTTGTTTCTGTGTGTAAATTGCCATAGAGTAGGCTGTCAGCGGGTTTCACTCCGTGGTTTGTTTTATGCTATATCTCGTCTTGACAGTATCTTGTTATGAAAAACTCCTGATTTTTTTGACATGTATGGAGAGCTAGTTAGTCAGGCTACAACGTCCAACAAGTTTGAAGTCCGTAGACCAAATACTCGTGGAGAAAATGGTACAGAAGCAAGAATGTTGTGCCCGAGTTTGTCTCTGTGCGTAAATTGCCATAAGAGTAGGCTGTCAGCGGGCTTCACTCCGTGCTTTGTTTACATGCTATATCTCGTCTTGACGGTATCTTGTTATGAAAAATTGCTGATTTTTTTGACATGTATGGAGAGCTAGTTAGTCAGGCTACAACGTCCAATAAGTTTAAAGTCCGTAGACCCAATACTAGTGGAGAAAATGGGACATAAGCAAGAATATTTTGCCCAAGTTTGTTTCTGTGTGTAAATTGCCATAGAGTAAGCTGTCAGCGGGTTTCACTCCGTTGTTTGTTTTATGCTATATCTCGTCTTGACAGTATCTTGTTATGAAAAACTCCTGATTTTTTTGACATGTATGGAGAGCTAGTTAGTCAGGCTACAACGTCCAACAAGTTTGAAGTCCGTATACCCAATACTAGTGTAGAAAATTGGACATAAGCAAGAATATTTTGCCTCAGTTTGTTTCTGTGCGTAAACTGCCATAGAGTAGGCTGTCAGCGGGTTTCACTCCGTGGTTTGTTTTTATGCTATATCTCGTCTTGACAGTATTTTGTTATGAAATATTCCTGATTTTTTTGACATGTATGGAGAGCTAGTTAGTCAGGCTACAACGTCCAACAAGTTTGAAGTCCGTAGACCCAATACTCGTGGAGAAAATGGTACAGAAGCAAGAATGTTTTGCCCGAGTTTGTCTCTGTGCGTAAATTGCCATAAGAGTAGGCTGTCAGCGGGCTTCACTCCGTGCTTTGTTTACATGCTATATCTCGTCTTGACGGTATCTTGTTATCAAAAATTGCTGATTTTTTTGACATGTATGGAGAGCTAGTTAGTCAGGCTACAACGTCCAACATGTTTAAAGTCCGTAGACCCAATACTAGTGGAGAAAATGGGACATAAGCAAGAATATTTTGCCCGAGTTTGTTTCTGTGTGTAAATTGCCATAGAGTAAGCTGTCAGCGGGCTTCACTCCGTGGTTTGTTTTATGCTATATCTCGTCTTGACAGTATCTTGTTATGAAAAATTCCTGATTTTTTTGACATTTATGGAGAGCTAGTTAGTCAGGCTACAACGTCCAACAAGTTTGAAGTCCGTAGACCCAATACTCGTGGAGAAAATGGGACATAAGCAAGAATATTTTGCCCGAGTTTGTTTCTGTGTGTAAATTGCCATAGAGTAGGCTGTCAGCGGGCTTCACTCCGTGGTTTGTTTACATACTATATCTCGCCTTGACGGTATCTTGTTATAAAAATTGCTGATTTTTTTGACATTTATGGAGAGCTAGTTAGTCAGGCTACAACGTCCCACAAGTTTGAAGTCCGTAGACCATAAGCAAGAATATTTTGCTCGAGTTTGTTTCTGTGTGTAAATTGCCATAGAGTACGCTGTCAGCGGGTTTCACTCTGTGGTTTGTTTTATGCTATATCTCGTCTTGACAGTATCTTGTTATGAAAAACTCCTGATTTTTTTTGACATGTATGGAGAGCTAGTTAGTCAGGCTACAACGTCCAACAAGTTTGAAGTCCGTAGACCCAATACTAGTGGAGAAAATGGGACATAAGCAAGAATATTTTGCCCGAGTTTGTTTCTGTGTGTAAATTGCCATAGAGTAGGCTGTCAGCGGGCTTCACTCCGTGGTTTGTTTACATGCTATATCTCGCCTTGACGGTATCTTGTTATAAAAAATTCCTGATTTTTTTGACATGTATGGAGAGCTAGTTAGTCAGGCTACAACGTCCAACAAGTTTGAAGTCCGTATACCCAATACTAGTGGAGAAAATGTGACATAAGCAAGAATATTTTGCCCGAGTTTGTTTCTGTGTGTAAATTGCCATAAGAGTAGGCTGTCATCGGGCTTCACTCCGTGGTTTGTTTACATGCTATATCTCGTCTTGACGGTATCTTGTTATAAAAAATTGCTGATTTTTTTGACATGTATGGAGAGCTAGTTAGTCAGGCTACAACGTCCAACAAGTTTGAAGTCCGTAGACCAAATACTCGTGGAGAAAATGGGACATAAGCAAGAATATTTTGCCTGAGTTTGTTTCTGTGTGTAAATTGCCATAGAGTAGGCTGTCAGCGGGCTTCACTCCGTGGTTCGTTTTTATGCTATATCTCGTCTTGACAGTATCTTGTTTTGAAATATTCCTGATTTTTTTGACATGTATGGAGAGCTAGTTAGTCAGGCTACAACGTCCAATAAGTTTGAAGTCCGTAGACTCAATACTCCTGGAGAAAATGGTACATAAGCAAGAATGTTTTGCCCGAGTTTGTCTCTTTGCGTAAATTGCCATAAGAGTAGGCTGTCAGCGGGCTTCACTCCGTGGTTTGTTTACATGCTATATCTCGTCTTGACGGTATCTTGTTATGAAAAATTCCTGATTTTTTTGACATATATGGAGAGCTAGTTAGTCAGGCTACAACGTCCAACAAGTTTGAAGTCCGTAGACCCAATACTCGTGGAGAAAATGGGACATAAGCAAGAATATTTTGCCCGAGTTTGTTTCTGTGTTTAAATTGCCATAGAGTAGGCTGTCAGCGGGCTTCACTCCGTGGTTTGTTTTATGCTATATCTCGTCTTGACAGTATCTTGTTATGAAATATTCCTGATTTTTTTTGACATGTATGGAGAGCTAGTTAGTCAGGCTACAACGTCCCAACAAGTTTGAAGTCTGTAGACCCAATACTCGTGGAGAAAATGGTACATAAGCAAGAATGTTTTGCCCGAGTTTGTCTCTGTGCGTAAATTGCCATAGAGTAGGCTGTCGGCGGGCTTCACTCCGTGGTTTGTTTACATGCTATATCTCGTCTTGACGGTATCTTGTTATGAAAATTGCTGATCTTTTGGACATATATGGAGAGCTGGTTAGTCAGGCTACAACGTCCAACAAGTTTGAAGTCCGTAGACCAAATACTCGTGGAGAAAATGGGACATAAGCAAGAATATTTTGCCTGAGTTTGTTTCTGTGTGTAAATTGCCATAGAGTAGGCTGTCAGCGGGCTTCACTCCGTGGTTCGTTTTTATGCTATATCTCGTCTTGACAGTATCTTGTTTTGAAATATTCCTGATTTTTTTGACATGTATGGAGAGCTAGTTAGTCAGGCTACAACGTCCAATAAGTTTGAAGTCCGTAGACTCAATACTCGTGGAGAAAATGGGACACTAGTGTCTATGGGAATTGTTGTTGCACTGTTGCACCCATAAGCACGTATTTTGGTTTAGTAGGACCATTGATCTCCATGTCTGCGTATAATTATGAAGATCAATGAGTGGAGCCTTCTGTTGTTTAATATTGAGCTCCTGATGGGCTGCCGCAAGTGCATACAAATTGAAGCCGTGGTTGGCAACATTTTCCCAATTAGAAAAAGGCAAGTTGTAAGTGTTTTGTTAAGGTTGTTGATGAGTTCAAATAGCACTTTTGCAATTGTTAATAATGTGTTTCACTTTTGCAGTGTTGGGCCTTCCATAGTTTGGCAACCCCAATAGTGGTATCATCGCTTGGGAACAGCTGGTTTAAAGTTGCAACCCTGAGAGTTTTGTCGTCTCGATTGCCAAGAGAGTGCAAGGCCCCTCCGGTGTCTTTTATGCCAATAAGACACGGTGCCTGCGCCATTATAGATGCACCATCATGAGCGTGGAGATGTAAGGATATAAAGGTCTACCGGCGATAGAAAGGTCTATCGAGAAGGATAGTCTGGTTCCATGACCCCATTCCTTCGGACTTCGAAAATGGGGTTTAACTAGCAGTGAATCTTCCGTAAATTACATGGAAATCCGTGTAATGTTGGCAAAGTATATCGTGATATGCGTGACGTCAGTAGAACTGAATTTCGCCTCTTTAATTCAAAATTACATTTTTGAAACCAGCTTATTGGAAAATAGCCAAAGCAAGCCTGGCCATGAATTGGAATTTTGGTGGTAATGAGCTTCGATTTTTGCTCTATTTAAAAGTATGCCGCCAAGCGTCTCAAAAGTTAGAAGCACGACCTTGATCATGATGCCACTACATGTTTGTATTTCAGTCATGTTTCCTGTATCCAATAACTGTACTGAATGTTTTTTGTGTGTGTGCAAAAGAGAACCAGACTATTTTCCCTTCCAGCCTCGGTTTGGTTACGTTGATTTGAATGGGGAAAAATCAAGATGGCCGCAACATGATAACTGTCTACAAAATATCACTTTTATATCAACAATACATGAAGTACCAAACGGCGAAGCACATTGTACAGAGATACAATCATTTTGCGACTAGACATTGCAGAGTGTATAACTTGAAGGTCCATTGATAAACGGGCAGCTTTCTTCGTGTCGATGTCAAATACTCAATCAAAGATTTTTTTTAAATTTATGCCACCCGATTTGCTAAATCTTGTTAAATCGTAAGTAAAGACAAACATTGAACAGAATTTTTTTTACATAAATTCGGTGTATACAGTCAAACACCTTTATAACAAGGTCCTTGGGACTTTACGAATTACCGAACTGTTTATACAAGGTACTTGTATATAAACAGTAATGCATAATGGGAAACAAAGGAAAACGAAGAACAACAAAGACTAGGGACCTAAAGATTTGCTGGTTATAAGCAGGATCTTGCATTAACAGAGTTGTTCTTATAAGGGTTCGGCTGTATCTGTTTATTTTAAATTAAAAGGTATACGGGAACACGTTTTTTATTTTATTGATATATTTTATCGAGATAATAAAAAAGGGGCCGGGGAAAAGTTCACGAGTTTGAAGGTCTTGGCACCCTGGGTGGAGTCGGTGCTCTTTTCTTCTTTTTCGTTCCGCTTCGCTGATCGTCGCCTTTCGTCAGGGACCCAGACAGCGGTCTGCACCACGCGATCCTTGGAAGAGTCACTGCCGGCTTCTGCTCAGTCCCTTCCTGCACCACGGTCGTAGAGGGCGTAGCGGGCGTAGCGTGGTCCACTGATGACGTCATCATATCCTGAGATGAGGCAGACCCCGCCCCGGACGAGTCGCTGGAGGTAGAGCGTCGCCGCCTGCCTGCGCGTCGGTGACCCTTCTCGGTCTTCCGCGCATGCTCATCTGGAAAGGCGTGGTTTCTCCTTTTGGCGGGAACTTTAAACCGGACCTTATGCTCGCCCCTTTTCTCAATGTGGGTAAGTGTCTTCATGCAGATCGACTCCTCCCTGGCCTGGGTTTGTTGTCCTTCGCATTATCTTTCCGTGACACTTTCCCCGTCCTCTGCTTGGTAGGACTCGGACGGACTTGCAGAACACTCGCTGTCTCAAAGTTTGCTTTTTCCCTCGGGTTAGCTCGGAGGGATTTCTTATGGGTTGGGGTCAGATTAGCACCCAGGAGGTGGTAATCGGGTAGTCTAAATGCTGGCTCTTGGGTCTGTTTGGAAGAGGAAGAGCCCAGAGGGGTGAGAAGACGCCCGGTAGCTCTGGGCCAAATACACTCTGGTGTGCACCCATCATCTCCCTCCTGGATGACCCACGGCTGGTGTGAGGTTGAGGTGCCATCATCCTCGGCCTCCGAGGTCGACTGTGATGAGTACCTCCCTGTGCGGTTATGTTGGTTGTCTCTTAAATCATCAGCAGTTCCTCGGAAGGTCATGTCTGCGCGACACCAAAGAGGTGGTAAGGTAGCTCCTTGTTTCACGGGAGGTAGTTCCTGTGTTCTGTTCTCCAGATTGTAGGTTAGTCGAGGTGCGGGGCCTCTTCTTCTGGCAGGAGGTGTTGAGGATGAGGTAGCGGAACACATGACGTTGTAGTTGGAATCTGTAGGGTTGGTGGAGTGGGAGGGTACGCTGACGAAAGACCCCGTGTATCCCCTAATGGATCTGGAGAGAGATCCTCTCTGTGCCATCTCGCTGGTGTGGAACTCCTCGCTCTGCAGGCGTGTGCCAAACAAAGCCCTCTGCCGGGTAGAGCGCCAGCTGCTGTTGACATTTGTAGCAAACACGATAGTGGATCTGCGGTAGTCAACCCTGCCTGCTGGGCAGCACAGCCGGATGAGGAGTTTACGCAACGTCTTGCGCATCCTGCGATTCAACAACGTGTAGACGTACGGACTGATTACAGCATTTGCGAAAGCCACAAAGGTCGCCAAGGTGATCCACCAGCAGTTTTGGTCGTAGGGATCTTTAGAGGGCGCTCTTTTCTCGGACCAGCTGACCACAGCCTCGTGCTCGTAGCGGATGACGTTCGAGATGTGTGCGGCAACGTAGACCGTCCAGCAGCAGAAGAAGGTGCCGAAGACTACCAGAATGATCTTGGCCGCGTGGGCGCGGTGACGCGGCGGGCGCCACACTTGACGTGGTACGCGCTGCCTGGACGAATCACCGCCTCCCGTCCCGTCGACTCCGCGCGAGGACAGCTCGTCAACGCGCCTGGACTGGGACCTGGCTGCTCGGAAGATGCGGAAGTTGCAGACGGAAGTGATGACGAGAGGGAGTAAGAATCCAGCCGTGAGGACGGAGAGGGAGTAGGCAGGGGATTGGGTCCAGTCTGAGGTGCAGTGGTGTGTGGCTGGGAGGAAGCGGTACAGTCCCACGCCAAATACCGGCAAGAGAGAGATGATGGCTGAAAGAGGAAGTAGTCAAGAACATTGACCATGACGTCATAACAAGTCATCATAAGTGATCACAAGTCAGTACACGCAAATCTCAAGTCATTCACAATCACCACGAGTCGTTGCAAGTCATCACAAGTCACCAAAGTTGATCACAATTCAATCACGAGTCGTTACAGGTCATCACGAGTCAACGGAAGTTTTTATGTCATCATAAGTTCATCGTTACTAATCTCATCACGAGTCATCACAAGTCATATCGCAAGTCATCACAAGCCATCAAATTTAATCACAAGTCAATCATGAGTTGTTACAAGTCACAACAAGTCATCGGAAGTGTTTATGCCAACGTAAGTCACCATAACTAATCTCATCACTAGTCATCACAAGTCAATAGTCACTCATCACATGTCAATCACAAGTCAATCACAAGTCTTTCAAAACTCAACATTTATCTCATCACGTTCATCACAAGTCAATCAAACGCCAATCACAACTCATCACAACTCATCACAAGTATACCAGAAGTCGTTTACAATTCATCACGTTCATCACAAGTCAATCACTTGTAAATCGAATCTCAACATTCAACTCATCAGGTTCATCACAACTCCATCAAACGCCAAACATAACTCATCACAGCTCATCACAAGTATATCAGAAGTCGTTCACAAGTCGTTCACAAGTCATCACAAGTCAACACAAGTCAAGTGCAAGTCAAGTCACAAGCTGTTCAGACGACTGTAAGATCTCCCTACCTGCCGCGAGCCAAGTCAAGACCAGCATTACTCCCGCCCGTCGCTGCGTCATCATCGTTTGGTAGTCGAAGGCGTACACAATTGTACAGTACCTTTAAAACGAAAAGTTAGGGAACTTGAAATGTTGATGAACGTTTGAGATACATTCTGTGTACGACTTATATAACTCATTATCATCAGTCTCCGAGCTATGGGACGTTGAGCCACCCACGTCAACCAATCACAAAAACTCTTTCCGTCTACTCCCTACCGTCAACTCTAAAACTGAACATTTGAACTGGCCTTAGGTTTCTTCATCGGGCTTCTGAAATTAGAACTTGAGTAAAGACTAACTCACCTGTCGATGGACACGCAAGCCACGGACAGAGTGGAGGCTAAGCACAGCGTCTGGCTCACAAAGCTGTCATTTGGCATACGGTGTCCCCTAACAGCCAGTCGTCAGCGTCCCCAGACACCAAAGTGATGAACGCAAAGGGCATGTCGATGACGCCCCTAAGGAGGTCCGTAGCTGCCATGTTCATCATCAGCATTGCTTGAAGCGAAGAACAAAAATCGTAGTTGGTAATGCGAAACAGTATTGTAATATTGGTTTTTATTCATACATTATGTACCCTTCTCATCAGTTGGGATTCGAACCGCAAATTTCTGATTTTATACTCGTGTAGCACAAAGTCATCAGCAACAATATTCACATTTCAATAAATGTTATTTTGATGATGTGACGATTGGCGAAACATTGAAAATACCAACATAACTGCAACGGCTGTTACATCTTCGGCCAACACCCCAAAACAAGAGGAATTAGAACTGCACTGACAGTTAGAAATATTACCATAAGCACAAAGTTAACACAATTTTATACAACACGGGCAATATGGAAGATATACCACTGTAAGAATACAATGGATAATCACTTCGGAAGTTAGTTACCAAACGCAAGAAGAGCGCAACACATAAAGCTCGAAACGAGCAGTGCATGCACAATATACATTTTGTAATCAAAATATTGCCTCCCAATATTTTTAAATGTTTGTTGAAACTTTGTTGTATAATATTACCCTGTCACTTGTTAGTGTTTTTTTATTTTTAATTATATACCATTATATCACTCACCTGTAATAGGCTCTGTATTCCGTGTGTTGTAGGTCACCCAGCAGACGCCCATATTACCAACTATGGACAGAACTATCATCACCCCGAGGGCAATGGACTTCACCGCAAGCACAAACGACATTGTGCTTATATTGACCGGTTTAATATAAAAAGTATTGACCGGTCCAATTTTTCAAAAACAAAAACTATACTGCAATATGACTTTCAAAAACCAATGAGGTATGTCTAAAAGTGTGTAGCTGCACTGAATGACATGTTCACATCAGCTCAAGATTATGAAATAAGACCACGGAACTCACTTATTTGCCGTTTTGAAAATATAGACCGGTCCAATATTAGCGAAGAAATTGTACATAGGTGATGTACAGTAATATGACTTTCGTCAAGATACAGTATGCCTATAGTGGCAGAACAAAATCAGGCAGTCTTTGAGAATACATGTATTTCACCAAAAGGACAGTGCGTGAAGTTACATGTCAGATCGCCACCCAAAAGAAAACGACCGCCACAATGACAGATAAACAAGCTCCACAGCCGAAGAAACTCGAAGACAACGTGACTAACAAGAAGTTAGAAGTAAAATGTCCACCATCAAGACAATGCTCTGGTTCTTAGTTCTGCTACAAGATGTTTGGAAAGCCGTGTCAAAATGATGACGAACTGAAGAGAATAAACACAATGATGAAGAATCGTAGACAGTTAGAATCTGATACGAGTGTCGTCGTCGCGGATGGCTTCGTTCTGATATGGGTGACAAAAACAGATGGAATTGAAAACAGCGAAGGATAAAAATCATCTGCTCGCGGTGACGGCATTGTCTCGTCAAGGAAACTTCACAAGGGATAGCTCATCTTCGAGAAATCTTTTTAGTCCAGGATTTGACGCGTCAAATCTGAGAAGTATAGACTACAGTGAGTCAGAAAACATCAGCACAAGTTGTCCAAGTCTCAGGTCGCAGTTGCCGCAGTGCGTTCCTCAAAATAGTTTCCAGAATTTTCTTATCGGCTGCCGAAGATAAAGCTGGCTCCGTCAGAGCACGACACAGCATTTGAAGCCTGTGCCACTGTTTCACCCGCCCGCCGGAGGCCACCGGCCATGACTGGTTGAGATCCTTAACGAAGGAAGCCAGACTGAATCTCTTCATTCCTTAATGAGGCTTCTTGTTAGTCCCTTAATCTTTGCTATGATCAATTTCTTTGTTATAATCCTTCTGAGGCCGATCGTGATGAAGACATCAAACTGCACATGCACGCGGATGTGACCTTAATTAAAATACCTCATAAATGAATCCAAAAAAAAGAACAGGCTTCTTTTAGAAGTTCTTTTGTTCGCCTAATGAGTAGACACCGGGATAATGGTCGTACGTGTCCGGTTTCTTCTGACGTGAGGTAGTCGTTAGGGCGATTGCTCGATTTTTTTTCGGTCTCGTACATTTGCGAGAGTAATTATTTTCCTATCTTGTGTCAACTTATCTCAGTTCAAATAATTTATGGAATCTGGTAAGAATTTTCCAACATCAAATAAAAAATTCGATATTTATCTTCGGATACACATAAATATTTCGTACTCTAGGTTTTCCCGCACATTTTAAAACTTGTTTTCATTCAAATTCATAAACGGTTTATTCAATTTCGTCTTGAAAATTCATGATCCTGCATGCATACCCATGTTCAATTTCGTCTGTGGTCGCTCATTTTCGCACTTTGTTCAAGCAATTTCATACCTTATCCTTACGGTGAAAGACAATTCAATTTCGTCGTCTGCAATTGCCGAACGTATACGATAGATGAATCAATTTCGTCATTTTGCAATCAATGTTGTAAACATTTCATTCGAATTCGTCTCATGATTGTACGCTATCTTCGGTATTTTTACGTTTTCATCTGTTCATTTCTACTTTAAACATAATTACTTTATTTTGTTGTGTCTGTTTGGTATCTCCTTATTCAACGTAGGTCTATAACCTTCAATAAGCATTTTTAATGTAATAATTTTTTTTTGCAAAGTTGTAATCTTTTTCAATACTTATTTATGTATCCATTTAGTTCTTTGACAATTTTATGCGTCAACAACTGAAAGAAATGCATACTAATCATTTCATCAAAGAAATAAGTAGGCCTATACAGGGTAAGTAAAAAAAAAAAGCGAAACCCAAATGTCGGGACTATTGTTTTAGGGCATTTCTGCATGTAACACTTTTAAATTGTAGGATATGAAAGCCAAATTTAAAAGCTTTCTTACAGTACAAGAATCATTCAAATCACTCATGCACTTTTTAAGTTACGGAATTTTAAACACAACCACCGTTTTAAAGTTCTGTCCACGGATCACAAAAAAGGGTGTGCGTTCTTTCAGCAAAACGAAAACAAATCACATAGGGATGTGTGTGAATTGTTTACGTTTTGCTGAAAGATCGCACACTTTTTTGTAACCATATACAATGTACTAGATTTTGAAAGTGCTACATGCAGAACTTCAGTAAAACAATGGTCCCGACATTTGGGTTTCGCTTTTTTTTTTACTCACCCTGTATAAATGTACTTATAAAAAGCAGAGCAGTCATATTTTCACATCTTTCCAAAACAGTCAATTCAGTTCTTCTTTGGATCGGGTGTTAAACCTTCAATTTCTTGTCTTGCAGTACACCAAGCCAAATACGTCTGTGCATGGTATATACCAGCGTGCGCATTGTCTGATGAATTTGATCAGCATTTCTAATTCTTGACATCGACTGAACAAAGACGAATGTAATCCTTACATTATGTAGATGGTCATCAAATGAGACGAATTCCAATGAAATTTTGACGACAAAGAATGGACAAATGTTGAAATTGATTGACCATTGATCATTTGGAATGACCAACGAAGTTCATTGTAGCCTTTGCAAAGGCTACAATGAATTGCAAAGCTTTGCGCGTTCCAGTCTTCTCGAGACGAAATTGAAGTTAACCGTTTTGATGAATTTAAATGAAACAAGTTTTAAAATGTCCGGGAAACCCTATCTTGTTATAAGCGAGTTTTTTTTATTATCAGGTGTTTTTTATGATGGGGGATACGTGGCTTCCAATTCTGAGCATTTGGATGCAATCGGATCGGGTCCAAAGGTGGCGCTATTTAGCCATCATTGTGGAGGGATCAATCTTTTCGAAATGGCTGCTTTTCCAGTTTGGGAAATATCATTCGTTTTTAGGGGTGGTCTTCTTTGGGTGAGAATTTCTCCAAAAAGTCATCGGTCAACCCACCAATAAATTGAAAGGAAATTGAAAGACGACATGTTGATTGTCATTTTTCTGTGCAGCCTGAATACCTGTGATCGTGAGAGTTCTGAGTATTTTGAAAGAATTTTGAAATATGGGAATTTAATATTTATCACTGGTGTTTATGGGAATTTATTTACTTGGTTGGACAGGTGTAGCGTGAATATCCGACTCCATAAAATGTGGACCCATTGGTAGTATTGCGCATGCGTAAGTACGAGGGATTGACCAATAATAGGGAAAAGGGGTCCGATTTTCATGGGAGTCGGATTTTCATGACACCTGCACCATGTGTAATATTTTGCGGCCAACAGTTGTTAAACAGCGCCACCATGTGTTACAATCTTGTCATTCACACACTTTGTTTAGCACGTGTGGTGTTCTTTGGCATTCGGTTTAGTTCATTTCGCGAGCTCTGGACGACGGACGTTGACTGTGCAGTGCTGAAGTTTGATGTCGATTTTTTAAGGTAAGAACTCTCATATTGTTGTCCATTTCCCTTGGTCGGAAAGAATGTTGCATCCTGTAGTGTCTAGATTGAGTGGCGGGGTATTCTGCAATCATGCCAGCGGTTGTCATGGTTGTGCACAAAGTCTATGGAGAGTCAAGAATTTTTGGAGTAAATTTGCAGAATACCCCGCCACGCGAAAATTACCCCCTAAAAATATATGGCTACGCAGTCGGAAAATGTTGCAGAAATGTCCAAAGTACATGTAGATGTGGATACGCGGGAAGTGGATACGCGGATATACGGGGTGGATTTGAGTGGTGGAGGGTCTAAAGAGGGCGCTATTTCCTGTATTATTAGAAATGCGGCCAGCAGGGACAACGTGAGTTGAATGGGGAGCAGGGAAAAACGTCTCAAGTCCAAAGTAGGTGCCGGGAAGTGGATACGGGGATACGGGGTGGCGCACGCGTGTGGTTTGGTTGAGCATCCAAGTGTGACTCCGTATCCGCGTATCCGGATACGAGGTGGGATAGGTGAGTGGCGGGGTATTCTGCAATTGTGCCGAATTTTTTTTAAGGTATCGGACTAGGCCTCTCATCAGTATTTCCTCACAAATTGGAAATGTGAGTAATTGCAGAATACCCCGCGCCACTCGGAAATACACCCCTAAAATCTCTGGCTACGCGGTTGGAATCACTGGAAAAGAAACAATTCAATTCTCATCGCCACTACGCGGATACTGAGTGGGGGTCCATTATTTGAGAAGAAAGCAACACAAAAGGAATGGAGTTGCTGAAAAAATTCCAAGTCCACCCACCAACCACCTGTTGGCGGCTACGCGGATACGGAGTGGGAGTCCCCTTGATATGCTTGAGAACGAAGCAACACAAAGGAATGGGAGTTGCTGAAAAAATTGTAAGTCCAAACCAACTACATGTACCCTGTTGCGGCCCGAGGATACGGAAGTGGGAGTGCAGTGGATCATGACGCATAGTTATTTACAATTACAAGTTGCGTCTGAGAAGGTTTATTGAGGGCAATCAACCGTGACTTTGTAGCCGGCTACGAGGTGCATAGATCGAGTGGCGGGGTATTCTGCAATTGTGCCTGGAAATGTTTCTCAGTCCACTCCCAGATTCATGTCTTTTCAACATTTTGCAATGACTGACCTTTTAGTGAGATAATATTTTGTTAAATTATAGGCTTTGATGAAGAAAAAATGGCGTCAGGATGCAACATTCTTTCCGAGAGAAATAAAGCTTTTTCGTCACCTTCAGTGTTCAGTGCTACTTTGTCTTGAATTAGTGCATGGCAATTCCAATTTCGTCATTTTGTCGTCATTTTGTCGCCATAAAAATTCCGTTATGTGGGATTGAAGGCCTGAATTCCCCCAATTTTCTTGACATGTGAGAGTTTGTTGAATACGATGCTAGCTTTTTTTAAGCTTAAATGTGCATTTTGAGCTTGTTGACGCTTTTGTTGACACTTTGTTGACGCTGATCATGTTTGTTGACGCATATTGATGCTTGTTGACGCTTTGTTGACGCCGAATTGGCACGACCAAGATTTTTGGATGATTTCTAAATCGACTTTTTTGTGTGGTGAAGATGTTGAATTCAGATATGATATTTGTTTTCAGACATGACTTTTTCTGGGTTAAATCTTATTTCAACTTCAAGTTATTGTTGATCTTTGTTCCTGAATCAAAACAAATATTTTGTTCAGAAAATTGAATAAGTCTAGAACGTACAGTATACATGTAGAAGAAAGAATGTCCAAGCTTGGTTGCAAATTATTGAAAATAATGTCCACCACATGTTACCCTCTACATTGTTTGAAGGAAAATACATGTGCCCCCTACCGGAAGTGTGGAGTGACAAAACAGCTGTTTTTTTGTCACAAAGTAATCAAAATAAATGTTTTTTGCCGCCAACGATTTTTTCCTTAATACTAGCAATACTACACTTGCCGCCTTATTTCCTGGTATTTTGTCTGACCACAGAAACCGATCTCGCTTTATAGACTTTGTCAGGACTTTTTTTATTCTTTGAATGTACTGCACACACTGGTTTATTTTGAGACATTAGTTTACCTCCAGGATCTGAATGAAAACATGTTCTTACGTTTTGAACTCGCCTCAACAACAACCAAATTTTGGGCCAGATTTGAGTTTTCTTTCCGATTCATGACTCTTGAAGTTTTTCTGTTAAAAGGAAAGTAAAGTTGGACCATTGTTGAAAAGCTGACGCGAATGGTTGACTCAGTAAAATTAGCAACAGCGAAAACACAGAGAGGGCATAAATTTAACTAATGCCCATTGTAAAGCTGTTGAGGACAGTAGAGCATTAATGCAAACAAAATGTGGAAATTGGTACAATTTGAATAACATGTACCAGTAGTTCAGCTTGCCTACATGTACGTTTTGTCTCTTGTTGTTCGTCTTGAAATGAATTTTACAGACTATGCCATATATACCTGTATGCGTGCATCAATACAATGGTTGAAGCATGATGTTTTACAGACAATTTTTTTTCAGTTTGAATGTGTTAGAATTGTGAATAATTGTGCCATATTCACAGAATAACGAGAAAAATGTTTGCATTTGAAGGTGAAGTCGATTTGCCTGAAAAAGAAATTTGTACAAAATCTGATTTTTCGAACAGGGCCCGCAAAGATGCAAAACGTCAAACCAGGCTTATT